TCACTCAAGTGACCATATTAAGCCCCTGAAGAATGGGTTATCCTTTGATTCACTATAGAGTATCAGGGTTGTCCTATGAAGCCTGGCAGACTGCTCCAGAGTCAGCATGCTTATTTAGGTAGGCTTTATTGCAAACCATTTTAAGAAAAGGGCTCTATCAATAAATTTACTTTTCACTAAATTTTTCACTTCACAGATGTCAAATGAATCAAATGACCATTTTTAAAAATGTGGCTCATTTATATAAATTCTATAACATAATGTTTTAGGAATGGCAGTATTTTTTATATTTTGTGATTGATATGTGACACGTGGCAGGAACATGACAGATGTTTGTTTAAAGGGATAGAATATTCTTTCTAATGGTTCCCTCAATGCTCCTGGTTGAAAACAATGACTGCATTATTGAATTTTGGTTTGTGTGGAATATAAATGATATACTTCAATGTGTAGGTAGGAGATTCCATGAATCACAGACATGCAGAAGAGAACCTTAACAAGACCAATCCATGGATGGGCATTTACCTAGTTAGAGATACTATGACATCCCCTTTGAGACTGGTTATCCACTCTACCTCATTTTTGAAGTGGGTTGTTTTAACTAACAATTCAGTTGGCATGATATTTACAATACGAGATGACCTTCTGGTTTTGACAAATACCTCTTAGTATGGTGCATGGCAACAGACTTGCATATCTATGTAGGTCAGATAGAATCAAAGTATAAATGAATTCTCCATGTTAAAATTAACTGTGCATAATCTCTCCCTCTCCTTGTTTACTTAAACACAGTACACATATTTGAAGTCCTATTCCCATAGACAATGAGTTCATGGGTTTGTGTAATTTCCTAAACATTTTCTAATCTTATGAGGATATTTCAACATATGGTAATTCAAATAAACATTTTATAAAGTTTCACAGTCTGCATTTCCACCATTGAGTGTTCAGTCTTTAATGTGAATTATTTTTACTAAGGCAATTGGTGCCTCATTGTTTCCTATGTGTGTGAATCTACCACAACATTAGCTCATAATATTCTATGAAACAAATGGGATAGAGTCTTTGCTTTTCCATTCTTCTGCTCTCTCCTGGAATTCAGCATTTTGGTGAGCAGAACCTTAATGGAAACCTATCATCCCTCTACCTTGTTAGTAAGGAAAGCAGAGTGAAGGCAAAATTATAGTAATGAATAGTTAACAGTTAACCAAATCAAGATTTGGTCTACATTAGGTCAGGTAAAACCTGTCACTTATATTCTGATTACTAAAACCAATATATGAACTGGGTTATATAAAGGAGGTAAATATGGTAAATATAAAATCAAGTACATGTCCCAAGGTTTCACAGCCAGTAATAAATGAAATAAATTCACTTCATCTAAAAATCATGAATTCATTTACTGTTTCTTCATCATACATAGAGCTTGAAGTAGGTTATAGCAGTGGGTGGCTATAATTCTGCTCTCAAGAGAACATGCTGAATACAGTGTGGAAGGTAGCTGCTGTGACCAATAGGAGGGAGAAAGTAGGAAGTGACCCAGAATCTGTGCTAATAGTCAGGACAAAACATTTCGTCCAGCTTAAGCACATAGTATAGGGCTGGCTTTTACTAAGTGACAGTTTAGCTGAAGAATTATGAATTCTCCAAGAGTGGAAGGTTCAGAATGTGCCTCAGAGGAGGCAGAAGAGCACCTGGCCCAGAGAAAACAGCAGAGGCCATCGAGAGGAGGGCAAAAGGCATAAGAAAGCAGAGAAACAATTTTCTTCCATTTAAACTGATACACTATTTGGAGAACTTCTGCATAGCCATTTAGCTAACCCATGTTTATAAGGGTGGCTAATTCTTTGAGGTCAAGTATGGCAAACCCCATGTCAGAAATGGCAGTAACTTAACCCCCGTGTTGCTATGCTTTGAACTCCATTAAATTGCAGCAGCAGCAGACACCATATTTTGTTATTTCGGAGTAAGCATTCAGCACCTGGTGCTCCAAAGCGTTTGTTAGTTTGAAGTGGCTTAAGTGTAATTGGCACATAAAACAAGAGACACAGAGAATTGCAATGTGACGTCAAGATAAAATCTCTCACATTCTAAATGTTAAGGTGCAACTGAGGTACAACTATGGTGTGTGATAAAAGGAAATACTGCTGGGTCTCATGATGTCTGATCAGGCATTGGAAGAGTCAGGCTCCCTGCAGAAGTGCCTGGAGTCTGAGACCTGCTGTGTGAATCCCCAGAGAAGAAGGAATTGAAAGGATTTCTGGCCTGGAATCATCACAGAATATATACAAGTTAAAAGCCATAGCTGCCATTCATCCATTAAACATGTAGAGAATATTATGTTTCATAGGGCTAGGTGACTAGAAAAGAATGCACATAAAAGTTCTCCATCTTTCCAGGAGCTCCCCACCATAGGAAGGAAGTCGGGGGAGTAGGTCCCAGAGTTCCAAAGGTGAAATGCTGTGAACATGGAGTGAGAACAGCTGGGCAGTGGCCAGGCAAATATTTAAATCAGGGGATGAGACTTGGAGGAGCCAGTGATTAGGCACCTTAGCTCAAGTGCCCTCAGCTCCTGCCCGCCTCTCCAGCCGCTTCACCTGAGAACTCTGCCTGGCATTTGTGGCCCAGCTCAGCATTCCCTTGGGCACAGTTCAATGATAAATCACTCTGCTCCTTTGTTTCTGTGTCATGAGCATGATTAATAATTTGTTCACATGCAAATCGTATTTACTAGGCAAACTCTTTGAGAACAGTGAGTGTAATGGAGTTCCTGTGCATATGTCTTCTGTTTCCTCACTCTTACACCACATCAGCTCACAAGGTCCCCTTGGGAGTTACTGGCATTGCTTCTCTTTCTGGTTTCTTTTCTTTTGTTTTCCTGCCTCCCTTCTAACATTCATGTCAAGAAAAGGAAGCTTCAGACCTATAAGACAAACACTTAGTATTTTTGTTCTCATCATTGTCTCTTTCAATGTGTTGTGTCATTCACTTTTTTTTTTCATTTTGTTTACCATCTTACAAGACTCCTAGGGAGTAGAAGAAAGAAAGCAAGGAATTAATGGGAAAGCATGACCTCCATGTCACCTGCTTCACTTGACTTAATCTTTCCAAGAACCCTGTGAAGTCTGTTTTAGTATCCTTAATCTATAGGTGAGGAGGGGCTGATTAACTGGTTAAGTGACTTACTCAGGATCTTAAATGGTGACCTTGGAACTACTCCTGCCCTGTTTCTTAGCCAATCACATTTCCTATGAGGGAATCCAGATTCCAACATGATGAAAAATTGCCTGTGACAGCAAGTTTTAATTGTCAACTTGGCATAATGTACAATAAACTGGGAAGAGACTTTCAGTGGAGGATTGTCTACATTAGCTAGCCTGTAGCCTTGTCTGTTGGTGTCTGTCTTGATTACATAAATTGATGTGAAAAAACTCAGCCTAAAATTAGATGGCCTGATCCCTGGGTTTTTAGTCCCAGACCTTACAAAAAGGAGAAAGTCGGTTGAGCACATGCATGTCTTAATTGACTGTTCCCTCCTCTAGACTACAGATGTTCCTACTTCTGGTTCTTGTCAACTTGACTTCCCAGCATGTATTGTAACATGGACTTGTGAGCTAAAATAAATTCTCCACTCCCTAGCTTTTGCCACTGTATTTTGTCACAGGAAAAGAGGCTTAGATGTTTCCTGTGTGAGACGAATGCATAAAGAATCACAGGCATGAGATGTCTGTTCACAAAGGTTCCGGTCATTCAGAGTACATCCTACTGCTGAGGAACACTACTGTACTGCTGAAACTGTGTGCTAGTTTTCCTTTGTTTTACGACACACAAGTCAACTGTTTCTAAGTTTGTTTAATTATTTTTGGTGGATACTTTCTTTTGACCCTATAATTAGTGTTCTGAAATTAATTATAGTGTTAAAAAATGATGGAAAATGGCTGTTATAAATCACATGAGAGACTCAAGAGACAACACCGTTTTGGTGGCAGCAGGAAGAGACCTGAATCTGAAAGCTAAAGACACCTCCATTCTTCAGTTTGGTGTTATGTGTGGAGCATAAGTACCATGGCCTTTCCTCTCAAACTGAAGAATGGAGGTATCTTTAGCTTTCAGATTCAGGTCTTTTCCTGCTGTCACCAAAAAGGTATTGCCTCTTGAGTCTCTTCATGTCTGAAACTAAAGACACTTCTTGGTTTATGAGAGGAAGGGAGGCCATGACTGTGTTACTTATGCTCCACATATAATATGGTGTCAGACTTTTACATCAATTTATGTAATCAAGTTGAGAGTAAATGACAGACATTTTGAATGAATGTATGAATAAACAAAAAATGAAGGAAGTTAGGAGAGAAGGATGGAAAGAAGGAAAAATGTTAAGGGGAGAGGAAATGAAAGGGGAAGGAAGAGAAGATGGGAGTGATTGTGAGAAATAAATTTGGTCTGATCAGGGAGATGCTTGATCTTATCTCCTATGGAGCTTACTATAGATTTAGTTAACAATTTAGGAATGTGTGAACAACTCTCTGGGAAAGACAAATGCTGGAAGCACAAAGGAAACTCAATATATCGGGGAAAGACAGCAGACATTTCAAGCAGTGTTATGGGGGAAAGGCATAGTGCTAACATTTAGAGGATAAAATTAGATAATATCTCCAACACATACCCACAGCCTCACTCTGTATATGCCCTTGACTTTGGAGCCTTAGTAGAATAACAATAGCAAAAAATAAATTCACTTGAGACTACTTTGATTTAAAGTTCAATAATAACTTGATATTATGAAGACACTAAAGCATCTTATGCCATATTCCATATCTAGGGCATCTCTTTCTAGTAAATAATATGGTGGCTCAGATAATAGTCAAAAGTAGAACAGAAATTGCTTAGCCCTACAGTGAAGTGAGTGGCATCAAATATTATTCACTCCTAAAGTTTCACAGAATATTTCTTATTTATAGGCCTGATGGCCATCTTAGAGGATGTTACTCCTATTTATAATTACTTACATTATTATAACTCATTATTTCCCATAAATCTCCTATACAAGTAGCCTATATTTCTGTGTTATTTTTACAGGAAAGACAACTAAGTGCTGTGAATGCCATCAATTACATGTAGGCTAGTGTGTGTCCCTCAAATGCTCTCCAACAGAATCAGCTGACCATGCATGACATACTTCACACACACACACACACACACACACACACACACACACACACACATATATATATACATATCTTGACAAGTAATATATATTCAATTTTCACAAAAAGGAAACAGAAAATATGACAATATACTAAACAAACACCATTGTGTTCATGCAGTTAGGATACCCTATGTTAATTAAAAATTGTTTTATTTTATTCAGTGATCAAATCATTGTGCTAGATAGGTTTGCTTTCTAAAGTTATTGGGGCTTCACTGAATATTAATGACAGCTGAATACAATGACATACTGTGCATGTAAACTTCATGTCATCATAGAAGCAGGTGTATCATCTGGCCTTCCACTCTATCCAAGCTTGTCTTAAATTTTCATGAAAACTTTGAATCCAGTTATGCAATGAATAACACTGTTCTCTCAGACTCACAGACATGCCTTTTCTCTGGATGAAACTTTCTTTGCGTTGTCTGCTCCATAGATTGACAATTATTGCACAATCAAGCATTTCAGAGGTAGAAGAGCAATGGCATTGTCATATCAGAAGGGCTCACTAATTATGTCATGCATTTTCTTATAGAGACTTCACAGTGTTTATATGAAGAGACATGACAATAACACTTACCACCATTATGTAACGTGGTCTATACTGAATGGTTCCAAATAAACCCAATATGACAACTATTATATGCAGGAAATTTCCAAGAATGGGTGCCCACTGGAAGCCGAGGAAGTCGAAGATCTGCCTCTCCAGAGCTGAAAGCTGCAACAAAACAGAAATGGTTCATTAGTGGCTAATCCAGGCTCCAATACATCATCTCCTATACCTGCGGGCTCAGATCTCTTTCTTTCTTTCTTTCTTTCTTTCTTTCTTTCTTTCTTTCTTTCTTTCTTTCTCTTATTTTTTCTCCACTCTCTTTATTCCCCTTACTCCCTTCTTCCTTTTATCCCTCCTTCCTTCCTTTCTTTTATGTAGTACTGGTGATCAAGCTGAGATGGTTTTGTGTTGTTTGTTGCAAAATAATTGTTTAACTATGTAAAGATGTGTTGCTGTTTCACCTTGCCTTCCTAAGAAACCTGACTGATATAATAAAAGGATCAATGGCTAATAGCTAGGGAGTGTAGGGATAGGCAGGGCAGGTTGGCAAAGAGAAAAGGAGAGCCAGCTAGACATGGAGGAAGCAGAAAAGCAGGATGAACAGTATGTAGATGAGGTAATCAAGCCTCGGGGCACCACAGAATTTAATAGAAATAGGTTAGTTTAAGTTAAAAAAGATCTAGCTAGAAACAGGCCTAAGCCAAGACCAGGCATTCATAATTAATAATAAGTCTCCATGTCATAATTTGAGGGTTGGTGGTCCAAGAAAGTCTGCTATAGTCATGTATGCTCAACACTGTTTTACACCATCAGCCTTCATCACTAGGACCCATTTAAGGAACTTCTTAATATAGTTTTCTTCAGAAAATATTGTAAAATAACTTTGAATATTCTGACTTCAAGTGTAGATCTTAAACCTATCTCAGCTCATGATCTAGATTGATACACTTCTTAAATTATTGTCTACAGAAAAAAATGGCAGGCATAGGAGGTGTCTTAAATAAATCACTATTTTCAAACAAGTGGTTTGCTTAGCACAACATACTTAAGAACAATAACAGTAGCTTCAGGTTTGCCATAAAACAACTGATATTGAAGTGGAACAAAGCAAAACAAACCGTTACCTTCCTGTATGAATTACATATAAACAATTATAGTTTATATAGGAAGAATACCCCAAAGCCCATGTGTTGAAAGCTTGGTGCCCATTTAGCAGTGTCAGAGGTAGGGCAATTGGTAGATAATGGGCCCTCACCTGAAACATGGACTAATTTGATGACTTAATGGATTATTTGGAAACTATAGGGATGAGTGAACCCATAACGGTGGCCACATCCCTTTGGGTATGGCTTCAGGCAGATGGAAGATGAAAGAGAAAAGCATGAGGCATGCTCTCCCCCCCTCTCTCCCTCCCTCCCTTCTTCCCTCCCTCCCTTCTTCCCTCCCCCCTCTTGCTTTCTCTTGAGTCAGTGGATCCCATCAGAAGGGCACAATAATGCTCCTGAGGTTCTTTGTCATTATTTGTGTAAGTGTTCCCCAATAAACACCCATTTATCATTTATCTTGGGTCTAGTTAAGTCATTACACCCCACCACTTTCAGTTAGCCATTGTTGGTTGCCCCAAAATTGCTGTGAGACCTTGGGTGACTGTCCAGGTAGCCTGCTGTTTCTGTCTTCACTTTCACCTTTAGGAATTCACCCACTTGCCCTCCTCCCTACCCTAGAAATGTTATTTTCCTTCTCACGTCTTTGATGAGGTGGAAGACTAGACAGTCATAGCTATATCCTCTCTTAGATAGAAAAGACTTAGGCTTTCCAGGTTAGGACTGCTATCAGAGTAATCTCTCTCATGCCTTTATCCTGATACTGGACATATAATTGAAGATGTAGTATATATGTATTGCTCTGTGTTGCTCTCACTGGTAGAAGGTTTTAATTAGTGTATGTTTACCTTTCCTTTTCATGGAATATACTTGACATTTGCTATCATTGTATATAGTTTTTGCATTAGGCTTAAAACCCTCTTCTTTAGATTAAAAGGGGAATTTTAGCATTGTCTCGCCTTCATTTGGGGGTTATAATTTTGACATATACATTTTGTCCTTGTCTATCCCCACCTCTTTGGTTCTTGGCTGCCTTGATGTTATCTGTTTTAGTCTAGCTTATGTTCCCCACCATAGTGTTTAGCCTCGTCAGAGACCTGAGACCGCAGAACCAATTGGTCACTGACTGCAACATTCAAAGCTATGAGCAAAGAAAAGCTTTCTTCCTTTATTTGACTTTTTTCGGGCATTTTATTACAATGGCAGAAAACAGCTAATATATTATGTTGAATCTACTTGTTTTCTTTAATCTTCAGGGCACTGCCAGTAATGAAGCCAGCTTAACACTTTCTCAGTATGATTCCTAGTTATTTAGTTACACTAAGACTGTGATCCTAACATAAAACCTGAATGAAGGAGTCCTTTGAACCTTTGTTAAATCACATACTAATGTTCAGATTAGGTAAAATCCTTTGTGAATGCCCTAATAAAAATTATGGTACCATAACAATTTTAGAAATGCCATAGAAAATTTTATTTGCATTATATATAATTACATTTAAAGCAATTCACCAATAAGTCAAACTACATACTTAATAATTTATTATTAAACAATGAATTTCAGAAAGTCCAGTGAACACTGGCAATGTCATTACCACATACAAATGGTATTTCTTGTATTTTAAATGTAGAAATTTTATACTCCCACCAGCCATATTTGAACACTAATCTTACATGATGGAGATCTTTTTAAAAATTTCATTTGATAAAATAGTAATTCTAATAAAGTGATTCAGCAATTAGCCATATTGACAGGAGTAGAAACTGAATCTTTAAAATTCAAATGGCACCCTAGGTATTTTTCTACTTATGCAGCAGGTGTAAGCCTGAATAAGTTTAATTTCCTTGTACATAAAGAAAAGTCCTGTATTTTATAAGGAAATTTTAAGCTGTGGAGAAAGATGGAGACAGAGAGAGAGAGAGAGAGAGAGAGAGAGAGAGAGAAAATGTACAAGGACAATCAGACTTTTGCTACAAGGATGTCACAGGTGTATCCCAACTATGAAATGTGTTGTCACCACTTCCTGCATGCCCCAATGTGCAGAAACACCCAAGCACAGAATAAACAGAGCGATGCAAGTTGCTGAAACATATTCTCAATCTTTGCTTTTCTCTGCTACTGACTCTAATTAGTTCCCAGGAAACTTCCCCTGAAGGGAGCAACATTTTATTTATTGGCCCATCAGAGATATAAATATGCACTGTTTTTATGTTCAAATAGGATGCACAGGCTCAGAATAAAGCAACCCTGAAGAGCAGCCACGGGCAATTCATTCTGGAATGGAAACCCTATTTTATAGCTGTCATGCATCACAGAAACCTTTAAAGTGAACTTTTCAAAAAGAGAAAAACTCTCTTCTCTGTTGTCAGATAACACATGGTTACTATTCCTTTTTATTATATGAAGACAAACATCATGAAGGCAGCCAAATTAATGATAATTATTAGAAATCTGCTGCTTTCATTCAAGATGCTCTATCTCTATTAGCATTTATTTTCTGAGCACTTAACTAATGCATTTGAGATGAACTGAAATAAAAGTACAAACAAAAGCCTTTCAGAAATAGGCAGAGGCTGGGGTGGCAGGG